ATTATTTATACCATTTTTTACACTAATGCAGTAGTCTGCATAACAGTAAATCTTCTATTTTTTGTGAGAATAAAAATTCAAAGTGGAAAGCAAAAGAATGTAAGAGGGGCCTTGAGACGTGACTAATGAACAGAGGAAATGTCATTTTAGTGCCAGAAATGTCTTTCTTGTTTATTCTGGACCCTATTCGGAAATTGGCATCTTTTGAAATTTGTGTGAAATTGGCAAAATTGCTAAATTCTGACCACTGTACTGGATAGTTGAAATCGGTAAATGGGTGGTTTCTTGCACTCATTCGATAGAAAAAATGGAGTTCTAGCAAAATATTCATGTTTTTTGTCAATTAGTACAGCAGAATTGGCCGAAAATGGGGTTCAAAGTGGGCAAAATCGCCGATGCATAAACATCGCCGAGACCGCTAACTTTGCGAGAGCATAATTCCGTAAGTTTTCCATCAAATTTCATACTTTTGGCGTCATTATGATCGGGAAAAGATTCTCTATCTTTTCGTAAGAAAAAATAATTTTTTTTTTTAAATTTGGCCGACCCTGAGAACAAGTCTCGGAGAGGGCCTGTCAACCCTCAAAGGGTTAAGAAGAAAGAAGAAATCATAAAACATGAAATAGGCACAGCATCTTGTATGACAAAAAAAGATTTTGGACACAAATTCTGCAATGGATAATATGAAATGTCTTTTGATGATATGGACTAAAGACTTCAACAAGATCAAAATTCAATCAAGTCAGACGATACTTCAAGCAAAAGCAACATGTCTCCATAAGGCAGTAAAAGAAAATGGCAACGAAGGGGAAACTTTTTCTACAAGTCATAGCTGGTTTTATAATGTTTTAAACAGTGCACCTCTTAACCACGCTATGCAAGGTATTCCTGTACACTATTTATACAAAGACCCAATTAGCATAATAGATGGTACTGTATTTGCATGTTTTTTGTGAAAACAAATGAGAGCTCACATCCAAAATTGTATAGCACATAACCTGAAGGCCTTTCCATGCACTATTTAATTTTGAATGTACTTTTTTTTCACTCACATTTACATAAAATCACACAAAATAAATGAGCTTCATAAGAGCTAACTATAAAACCCCATATTATTATTCAACTAGATTAACCCCTTGGCTGTCGCAGTCGTATATATACGTCATGGGAGATACCGTGTTTGACGTATCTATACGCATAAATTCTAGCGGCTTTAAATCAAGCGGGAGAGGGCTGGTAGACCTACACGAGAGAGAATGGATCTCAGTGGTCGGTGTGCACCCTGTGAAAAAAATCTGGGACTCAGCGGTGCATTGTGGGAACGCCATCTTGGTAGTCCATTTTCACCATGCCTCGCGGTAAGAAGTTCCTCACTCCTCGGCGGATTGGAGGTCTTTTGTTCCCAAGTGATAGCTCAGTGATGAAAGTGTCAGTGAAAGTGAATTCCCTGGTTTTGAAGCAGGTGTGACCGAAAAAAGTGCCCAGGATAACATAATTAGTGATGAAAACCCAGATGACCCACAACCTTCCACCTCTGGTGCTGGGCCGGCTCGTTCATGTTCACCTGTACCAGGACGAAAGAGGAAACTATTTGCCCATGTACAAGACTCAGATGTGACCAGTGAAAGTGATAGTGATAGTGATTTCAAGGTTATTGAAAGCAGTTCTAGTTGTGACAGTGAGGGTGAATATTCCCCAGTGAAGCAGCAGTATATACGACGTCGCATGTGGTCTGGTAGCGTGCCCTATGCTCTTCCAAGAGGAAGGAGTACATCTTGGAGCACATCCCATGGCCCTACACCACGCCCTGATAGTGAAGATGATGATATTGTTACGATGGGTATCAATGATGCAAGTGAGGCAGCAGGCAGTGGTGGTGATAGTGATGGTGGCAGGAGTCATGTGACACCAGCAGCAGGCCACGCTCCTACCCGCGCTGCTGACTCTGCACAACTACAACCAGCCTCACCCAACCCCACACTCCCACAACCTGCACAACCACAACCACATTACAATATCCAGAACGCACCAGCTGACCGCATCTGGGATTGGCAGCAAGATGACGAGTTTGTTCCCAATCCCCATGACTTTGATGGAGGACAAAGTGGAATACGGCCATCATGTACACTTGGGAACAATCCCACTGAACTGGAATGCTTTCAGTTATTCTTCGATGAACCCCTGATGGACATTATTGTCAGGGAAAGCAATACATACTATGAGTACACCATGGCAAACACTATTCTGTCACCAAGATCACGCCTACACCAGTGGAAGGACACAACTGTGGCAGAGATGTATCTGTTCTTTGCCACAATAATGCTTATGCCACATGTGTATAAGCATAGTGTCAACACATACTGGGCGACAGACCGCCTGATTTCAACCCCTGCTTTCAGTGACATTATACCAGTGAATAGATTTGTGTTACTGTTACGTATGTTACACTTTTCAGACAAAACCAGGCCTGACAGAAGCAACAGGTTATATAAGATCAGACGTGTGTTTATGTACCTGAAACAAAAGTGCTTTATGTATTTTTATCCCTTCAGGAAGCTTGTTAATGATGAGTCTTTGATTTTGTTCAAAGGAAGACTCTCATTCAAGTAGTATATACCAAGCAAGAGGAAACACTTTGGTATAAAGTTATTTGTTCTGTGTGATTGCAAAACTGGTCTGGTTTTGGATATAATTGTGTACACTGGCAGTAAAACATTGGAAGATACCAGAAAGTTACTGGGTATCTCTGGTGACGTCGTTAGAACAATGATGGAGCCATATCTTGGTAAGGGGCATATTTTATATACTGACAACTGGTACACAAGCCCTATACTCAGTGATTTCTTGCAAGTGAACATGACAGATGTGTGTGGCACAGTGCGTGGAAATCATAAACATATGCCTAGGTTCGATGCTGGCAGTCGTAGAGGTGAAGTGCAGGTGTTTGCTGCCAATGACATCATGGCATTTCGGTGGCATGACAAACGTGATGTCACACTGCTGACATCAGTTCACCAACACGAAATGGTAGACACTGGCAAGCAGAATAGAGAGACCAATGAACCCATTGTAAAACCTGCAGCTGTGATGGATTACAACCTCAATATGCACTTAGTGGACAAATGTGACATGCAGATTGGGTTTGCTGACTGTGTTCGCAAGAGTTATAAGTGGTACATAAAACTGTTTTTCCATCTTCTTGACATTTCCATACTGAATGCTTATAATGTGTATAAGTTGAAGACCAAGAAGAAACCCAAATATGGTGAATTTTGTTTGTCAGTCATCAGGCAAATAATATTCAAGTACCAAGAAACAACACCTGCAATAGACCAGCGCCCACGAAATTATCAACACGTGTCCTCTCGTCTGAGGCCTGGTGATCACTACCCCATACCACTGCCTGCTACTACTGCCAAGGAAAATGCTCAGAAGAGGTGTTTTGTCTGTGGACATACCACAAAACGCCCACAAAAACACAGACACACTCGTTTTATGTGTGAGGAGTGTAAGACACCATTGTGCTTATACCCATGTTTCAAAGAATTCCACAAGCTGCAGCACTTCTAGAAAAGTGTCCAGTGATTGTACATATGTATATATATTATAGAACAATCGTAATAAACATTTGTTTACATTGTTTGTTTGTGTAAACAAGTTTTAGCAACATTATAATGATACGAGTGTTTTTGCTATAATTGTGTTACATTCAACGAGTGTATATTTGAACATTGCACAATAATTTGGTCTCACAGGCCACAAAAGTTATGTGAAAAATAAAATAGTGAAAAAAAACCAAGAAACCATCGAATACAAGTAAATCAAAGTTTACCGGGTGAGCGGCAGTCGCCGCTGTTGCCGCTCGCAGATCAATTTCAGCAAACTTCAGGACTCTATATCTCGTCAAGTACTGATGGGAAAATTATTTGGGGGGGACTAAAACAATCAGAAAAATAATCTTAACATTTTCATAAGAAAAAATCATTTTTTTTTTTTTTGAATATTTTGCGACACCAGGAGACACTTCAGGACTGGGCCTTTCGACAGTCAAAGGGTTAAATATGAGTATTTCAGTTATGACTTTTAACGCTTGACATTCAAGTATCTGCCAGCATTTATTACAAGACTAAAAACAACATATTCTATAATAAATGATGCACTGTACTTAAAGAAATTCATCAAAGCAGAATACATTAAGTAAGCTAGAATATTCCATCTTCACAATTTTGTACTTTTATCCCCCCCCCATCTTTATCTTATTACTAGTACATACATGAAAGAGTAAGATCCTTAAATAAAAGTCTGAACAGATGATGATTTATACTTCAGCAGTTATAAGATATTCTAAGGCTACCCAAAATGCTCTGTATAACCAGGGATTTTCCAATCAGTATGTAAAGAGTCACCTATTCTTATAGCAACTGTATACTATACTACATGGAAATTAAGATTTTCATTTCCTTTTGTAAATTTATCTAGTTATCACGAGGGTCTGTCCCTGACGCAACACTCGCAGGGATCCAAGGAACACCTCCCACATGATAATGTTTTTTTCTATATTTTTATTTGAAAATATGATTAAGCATTTCTAACATAACCAAACGTAAAACAGTCTGTAGGCAAAAGACAAACATGCACTGATCAAGATATTTAATTATTAAATGTTCTGCCTTGAGTAGCTTCTTCAGTCCTAATGCAGAGTAGCTAGAACAAGCAGTAGACTATAGTATGCAGCAATACAAGAAGTTAGGTAACCTATGTTCGTGTGACCTCTTGAACTGCTTGTTTACATACTGCTTGTTATAGCTACTTTATATTAGGACCAAAGAAATCATTTGTGGCAAAATGTTTCATTAATAAATATCTTAATCAATGCATATATGTCTTTCACCTACAACTTGACAGTAGGTATCACCATACAAATTTCACGTTAAAGCTTCCTCTTTCAGTTCATTTCTCTATTTCTCTTTTTATATGTATGCTAAAACTACTGCACTTACTTCTATCCCTGACCAAGAAGTAGTGAATGTCATGGTCTTTATCAGGGTCCCTGGCCTGCAGAGTAAACACTGGGGTGTTGGGAGCAGCATTGAGCTTCACTACTGCTTGCATGGGCAGAGGACGATTGATAAAGTAAGGTGGCTCATCGTTCACATCTGTTATTTGTAGTATCACTCGCTGATTGTCTGTATCTGTAATAAACACAAACACTGTAACTGCTTCAATCATGTTCAAAAAATAATTACTGGTACATAAAGACAAACATCCATACTAATAATATTACAGTATATGCGCTGTACTATAGTGAATCTTATCAGAAAATATTAACAGTCGGAACAGAGAAATGTTTTATCTTCAGTGTATTTATTTAAGAGATTTAACTTCTAATTAAAAATTTAACGGAGCATGAAAAAAAATTAAAATATTCTTTTTCATGACTCCACTACAAAGCATACACAACACATCAAAAGTTATGAGAATTCAATAAACTTCTTTTGATTTAAATTTCTAAATAAAATGCATGAACAAAATAACTGTACTGGTTAGCAGACTAGGCAACCATAGAGACTAAGCATGATTCAATGGCATGCGCTTGAGAACCAACAGATGGGTAAATGGACAAGACTAGCAATAGTTAGACCTGCTTCAACACATGCAGGTGGGCTCTCGCACATATACATGTGCTACTCTCACCCGCACCCACTGCTTACACACCTGCCCACACACACATACACCCACTCTATGGAGTACAATATATACTCACAACTGATGCCTGAGTTTCCGGAGTAGCAGCGAGGGTTAGGCAGCAGGGAAGAGAAAAACAAGAGAGAAAATATAGGTTAATACCAACACCAAAAAGCCAACACATTTACAGCAGGTTATTAATATTATAATCTACTAGTTATTAACTATTATCACACTGTTCCAAAGGTGTACACAAAATTAAGTCTTCACAATAGACACAACAGTACATCAGCAATAAAGTACCATAATCAACATTACCATAAAAAAGATTAATCTGTGTTAGTAACACATAGTACTGACTTGATTTACAGAAGTCTGCAAATTAGGACAGGTACAACAAAACTAACATATCAATAAGGGCTGAAGGCACTTTATATGTTGTACTGTATATTTCTGAAGATGAAGGGGTACAATAGCACGTTTTCTCAAACTGGCTGAAACCCCTGATTGAAAGACTGAACAGAAATGAGAAAAAATGCAAGTACAGTGGAACCTCTGCTTACGAGTGCCCCACCACATGAGTTTTTCAGGACACGAGCCGTCACTCAGTTAATTTTTTGCTCCTGAATACGAGCCAAAATTCAGGTTGCGAGCTTCCCCCTCAAGGGAGGCTCCTTGATTCTGGTGAGGGACTCTTGATCTAGAGAATTGTATCTGTGCTCCAGTTCCCTAAATTAAGCCTGAATACCTTACATCCCCTATTCCCCACAGGTGCTGTATAATCCTACAGGTTTAGCACTTCCCCATTATAATAATAATAATAAAAATAATGTAGGCAGTAGGTTGGTAGACAGCAACCACCCAGGGAAGTACTACCGTCCTGCCAGATGACTGTGAAACAGAAACCTGTAACTGTTTTGCATGATGGTAGGATTGCTGGTTTCTTTTTCTGTCTCATAAACACGCTAGATAACAGGGATATCTTGCTACTCCTACTTACACTTTGGTCACACTTCACAGACACACACATGCATATATATATACATACATCTAGGTTTTTCTCCTTTTTCTAAATAGCTCTTGTTCTTATTTATTTCTTCTATTGTCCATGGGGAAGTGGAAAAGAATCTTTCCTCCGTAAGCCATGCGTGTCGTATGAGGCGACTAAAATGCCGGGAGCAATGGGCTAGTAAACCCTTCTGCTGTAGACATTTACTAAAAAAGAGAAGAAGAAAAACATTATAAACTGGGATGCTTGAATGTGCGTGGATGTAGTGCAGATGACAAGAAACAGATGATTGCTGATGTTATGAATGAAAAGAAGTTGGATGTCCTGGCCCTAAGCGAAACAAAGCTGAAGGGGGTAGGGGAGTTTCGGTAGGGGGGGGAATAAATGGGATTAAATCTGGAGTATCTGAGAGAGTTAGAGCAAAGGAAGGGGTAACAGTAATGTTGAATGATCAGTTATGGAAGGAGAAAAGAAAATATTAATGTGTAAATTCAAGAATTATGTGGATTAAAGTAAAGGTTGGATGCGAAAAGTGGGTCATAATAAGCGTGCATGCACCTGGAGAAGAGAGGAATGTAGAGGAGAGAGAGAGATTTTGGGAGATGTTAAGTGAATGAATAGGAGCCTTTGAACCAAGTGAGAGAGTAATTGTGGTAGGGGATCTGAATGCTAAAGTAGGAGAAACTTTTAGAGAAGGTGTGGTAGGTAAATTTGGGGTGCCAGGTGTAAATGATAATGGGAGCCCTTTGATTGAACTTTGTATAGAAAGGGGTTTAGTTATAGGTAATACATATTTTAAGAAAAAGAGGATAAATAAGTATACAAGATATGATGTAGGTCGAAATGACAGTAGTTTGTTGGATTATGTATTGGTAGATAAAAGACTGTTGAGTAGACTTCAGGATGTACATGTTTATAGAGGGGCCACAGATATATCAGATCACTTTCTAGTTGTAGCTACACTGAGAGTAAAAGGTAGATGGGATACAAGGAGAACAGAAGCATCAGGGAAGAGAGAGGTGAAGGTTTATAACTAAAGAGGAGGCAGTTAGGGTAAGATATAACAAGCTATTGGAGGATAGATGGGCTAATGAGAGCATAGGCAATGGGGTCAAAGAGGTATGGGGTAGGTTTAAAAATGTAGTGTTAGAGTGTTCAGCAGAAGTTTGTGGTTACAGGAAAGTGGGTGCGGGAGGGAAGAGGAGCGATTGGTGGAATGATGATGTAGAGTAGTAAGGGAGAAAAAGTTAGCATATGAGAAGTTTTTACAAAGTAGAAGTGATGCAAGGAGGGAAGAGTATATGGAGAAAAAGAGAGAGGTTAAGAGAGTGGTGAAGCAATGTAAAAAGAGAGCAAATGAGAGAGTGGGTGAGATGTTATCAACAAATTTTGTTGAAAATAAGAAAAAGTTTTGGAGTGAGATTAACAAGTTAAGGAACCCTAGAGAACAAATGGATTTGTCAGTTAAAAATAGGAGAGAGGAGAGTTATTAAATGGAGAGTTAGAGGTATTGGGAAGATGGAGGGAATATTTTGAGGAATTGTTAAATGTTGATGAAGATAGGGAAGCTGTGATTTCGTGTATAGGGCAAGGAGGAATAACATCTTGTAGGAGTGAGGAAGAGCCAGTTGTGAGTGTGGGGGAAGTTCGTGAGGCAGTAGGTAAAATGAAAGGGGGTAAGGCAGCTGGGACTGATGGGATAAAGATAGAAATGCTAAAAGCAGGTGGGGATATAGTTTTGGAGTGGTTGGTGCAATTATTTAATAAATGTATGGAAGAGGGTAAGGTACCTAGGGATTGGCAGAGAGCATGCATAGTTCCTTTGTATAAAGGCAAAGGGGATAAAAGAGAGTGCAAAAATTATAGGGGGATAAGTCTGTTGAGTATACCTGGTAGAGTGTATGGTAGAGTTATTATTGAAAGAATTAAGAGTAAGACGGAGAATAGGATAGCAGATGAACAAAAAGGCTTTAGGAAAGGTAGGGGGTGTGTGGACCAGGTGTTTACAGTGAAATATATAAGTGAACAGTATTTAGATAAGGCTAAAGAGGTCTTTGTGGCATTTATGGATTTGGAAAATGCGTATGACAGGGTGGGTAGGGGGGCAATGTGGCAGATGTTGCAGGTGTATGGTGTAGGAGGTAGGTTACTGAAAGCAGTGAAGAGTTTTTACGAGGATAGTGAGGCTCAAGTTAGAGTATGTAGGAAAGAGGGAAATTATTTCCCAGTAAAAGTAGGCCTTAGACAAGGATGTGTGATGTCACCATGGTTGTTTAATATATTTATAGATGGGGTTGTAAGAGAAGTAAATGCGAGGGTCTTGGCAAGAGGCGTGGAGTTAAAAGATAAAGAATCACACATAAAGTGGGAGTTGTCACAGTTGCTCTTTGCTGATGACACTGTGCTCTTGGGAGATTCTGAAGAGAAGTTGCAGAGATTGGTGGATGAATTTGGTAGGGTGTGCAAAAGAAGAAAATTAAAAGTGAATACAGGAAAGAGTAAGGTTATGAGGATAACAAAAAGATTAGGTGATGAAAGATTGGATATCAGATTGGAGGGAGAGAGTATGGAGGAGGTGAATGTATTCAGATATTTGGGAGTGGACGTGTCAGCGGATGGGCCTATGAAAGATGAGGTGAATCATAGAATTGATGAGGGGAAAAGGGTGAGTGGTGCACTTAGGAGTCTGTGGAGACAAAGAACTTTGTCCTTGGAGGCAAAGAGGGGAATGTATGAGAGTATAGTTTTACCAACGCTCTTATATGGGTGTGAAGCATGGGTGATGAATGTTGCAGCGAGGAGAAGGCTGGAGGCAGTGGAGATGTCATGTCTGAGGGCAATGTGTGGTGTGAATATAATGCAGAGAATTCGTAGTTTGGAAGTTAGGGAGGAGTGCGGGATTACCAAAATTGTTGTCCAGAGGGCTGAGGAAGGGTTGTTGAGGTGGTTTGGACATGTAGAGAGAATGGAGTGAAACAGAGTGACTTGAAGAGTGTATCAGTCTGTAGTGGAAGGAAGGCGGGGTAGGGGTCGACCTAGGAAAGGTTGGAGGGAGGGGGTAAAGGAGGTTTTGTGTGCGAGGGGCTTGGACTTCCAGCGGGCATGTGTGAGCGTGTTTGATAGGAGTGAATGGAGACAAATGGTTTTTAATACTTGACGTGCTGTTGGAGTGTGAGCAAAGTAACATTTATGAAGGGGTTCAGGGAAACTGGCAGGCCGGACTTGAGTCCTGGAGATGGGAAGTACAGTGCCTGCACTCTGAAGGAGGGGTGTTAACGTTGCAGCTTAAAAACTGTAGTGTAAAGCACCCTTCTGGCAAGACAGTGATGGAGTGAATGATGGTGAAAGTTTTTCTTTTTCGGGCCACCCTGCCTTGGTGGGAATCAGCCAGTGTGTTAATAAAAAAAAAAAAAGTAATAATAATACATATAATAATACTATAATACTTATTATAATAATATTATAACAACAAGTGAGCTTCAGAATGCAACAAAACAA